TGTGTGTATGTTTTTTCATGGATGTATTTTCAATTATCTTGGTTACATATCTAAGAGAAGAATTGCTGGGTCACATGGTAATTATGTTTAACTTGAGGAACTGCCACACTTTTGCAAAATGGCTGCACCATTTTACATTCCCTTCAACAGTGTATGAAGGTTCTAATTTCTCTGTTTCCTCACCAACACTTGTTATAGTTTGTATTTTTGGTACTAGCCATCCTATTGGGTGTGAAGTATGCAGTTTTAATTTGCATGTTCCTGGTTGCTAATAATATTAAGCATTTTTTCATGTGTTTATTGACTATTTGTATATCTTCTTTGGAGGAAAGTGTAACCAAATCCTTTGCCCATACTTTAATTTGCTTATTTGCATTTTTATTATTGAGTTGTAAGAGTTCTTTATATATTCTAGATAAGAAATTATCATATATATAATTTACAAATAGTTTCTCTAATTATATGGGTTGTCTTTATTTTCTTGATGGTATCTATTGAAGCACAAAAGATTTAAAATTTAATTAAGTATTTTTTTATTTGGTTGCTTATGCTTTTGGTGTTAGACCATTACTTTTTAAACAGTTTCAGTGTTGAGTTTTTCCATAAGCCCATGCTTGAGCCATAGGCTATTTCCTACTTCTGCCTTTCAGGTCCAAAACATTTTTTCCTCTTCTGGCTTCAACAAGGGCCCCAGAACTATCACCATGCCATTTGATCAAAAGCATCCCAATTTTGTGGGCATGTTCTGGCCAAGTCCAGCTAGAGTCCTTCCTCTGCAGTGAGTTAGAGCATGGCTTATTACATTAGATTCCTGGATGTGACTCCAAGCTTCATTACATACTGGCTAAGTGATTTTTCCTGAATAAACTTCAGCCTTGATAAGGCTCACTTTCTTCATGTTTAAGATACTGCAAACATTATAGTACATCACTCATATAAAGTACTTAACCAAGTGACTGGCACATTAGAAATAATTAATGTTTGCTTCTCCTGTAATGTTGTTGTTACTGATTGTTTTATCTCTGCAACAAGCCTGTTTTCCACAGCACCAGGAATCCTGGATTTTCTCTCTTCCATCTTTGGTTGGTAACAAGGCTGCACTCAACTCCCATCAAAGTATTCTGATATTATGCTTTGTCTCTCTTCCTTTTTACTTGGTGGGTAATGCCTATCATTCCCTAACACATCATCACCCATGCCTCCCTAAGTCCCACTCTTTATACGGAGTTTATCCCCCAACTGCCTATTTTATCTGGCACAGCTACCCAGTGCTCACCCAGGAACACTTAAAAACTTAAAATGCCTCCTCCTGGGCTTTGCCTCTCCACCTGGCCCAGTCTATCGAATAGTTCTCCTTTCCTTCCATGACCTGGGTTCATTTTCAACATTTAAGGTTTTCACTATTCATATGTGTCCACTCCCTTCCACCCTCTCTTTTCCTACTCAACTCTTTCTTCCTCCTGAAGATACCCTTGTCTCTTTGCAGCTTCTTAAAAATACCAGTTTCATGTCCACCTTGGGGGCCTGCCTCTAGCGGTTCCCTGTATCTACAGTGCTCTTCCCCACACATCTGCTCTGTTAATTGCTTCAAATCTTTGCTCAGATCTCCCCTTTTCAGTAATCTGGCCTACTACTGCAACTTATTGATCCATTCCATGAGGCATACCTAATCCCCCTTAGTACTCTAGGTTTTCTTCCCCCCACCCCCCACAGAAATCATCTTCTGTCTTTCTGCATAATTACTTCTTTAATATTTACTGTTTATTTTTTTAAAAAAAACCTTATTAGGATATAATTAGCTAGTTTATTAATAATAATAGGAAGAGAGCAAAAGGGAGCCCAGACATTATAAGCATGGTCATATAGGCATCTTCACCAGGAACCTACAGCTTCACACTCGCCAGGGAACTACTGTTGGAAGGGATGAACAAAGAAGGGGGTAAGGTGAAGGGGAGAAGGGAATACTTGCCTGTCAGTCTAACCTGGAGAACAGTCCATTGGACAGTGGGGTAGACCCCAAAGCAAGCCCATGAAATTTTGGGAATACATAATCCCCAGAGTTCCCACTCTCTTGTTCTCTTTTGCTCTTGGCTCTCTAGCTCTATGGCCCATACTCACTAGTGTGCTTTCTTGTTCTCTCTCATAGCCATGTGACCTTAAGCATCCACCCCACACACAATGGACTGCAGCTGGAAACACAGGCTAAGCTAGCCAGATGCTGAACTGGACTGGACTTGATGTCAAATAGAAATTCTGAATAGAGGCCTTAATTCTGGCCCTGTTGAATACAAAATTGGACTTCTTCCATGGTGAGAGGTACAGAGATGGGACCTTGGATGGGAACCCCTTAATTTCACATCATCAACAAAGCTTTACACAAACCCCATCCTCCTTTGGGGGCCTCAAAAAATTATTTTCCTTGAGGCACCCCAAGAATACCACTTCTACTGGTAACAGCTTTATCTAAAGCAATGCTTCATGGCTGCTGGACAAATACAGTCAAACCTTGGTTCTCAAACATCTCCCACTTAGAACAGTTTGATTCTTAACTAAGTTGTTCACAGAAAAAAATGTCTCAGTTGTAGACCAAACTTCCATTTTGGACTTGAAACCTCTTTCATGCTGATACCTCAGAATGACAAAAAGCATTTCTCAGGTAACAAACAAAGGAGAGAATGCTTTAGTTGCTGACAATTTTAAAACTTGAAGAGGCCATCAAGAGTGCTAATGTTGCCCTAGCTGGTTTGGTTCAGTGGATAGAGCATCGGCTTGAGGACTGAAGGGTCCAGTTCTGGTCAAGGGCACATGCCCAGGTTGTGGGCTCGATCCCCAGTGGGGAGCATGCAGGAGGCAGCCCATGAATAATTCTCTCTCATCACTGATGTTTCTATCTCTCTCCCTCTCCCTTCCTCCCTAAAATCAATAAAAGAAATAGATTAAAAAAAAAAAAAAAAGAGTGCTAATGTTGCCAAGGGTGTGAAAGTGCTCACAAAACAGCAATCACAGGCAATTGAATAGGTAGAGAAACTATTGTTGATCTGGATAAAGGAAAAGTGGTGAGCCAGTGATAGAATTTTGGAGGCAGTGATAGATTAAAATTTCTTAGTTGGGCCTAAACCAGTTTGGATCAGTGGATAGAGCGTCAGCCTGTGGACTGAAAGGCCCCAGGTTTGATTCTGGTCAGGGGCATGTACCTTGGTTGCAGGCACATCCCCAGTAGGGGGTGTGCAGGAGGCAATTGATTGATGTTTCTCTCTCATCTCTGTATCTAACTATCTCTCTCCCTTCCTTTAAAAAATCAATAAAATATTATATATATTTTTTAAATTCTTAGTTGGGGGTGAGGGAAAGGTGGTTTGAAAAATTTAAGAAATATATATTTACAAATTAAACAGCACATTAGACATGTACTGTATATAGTAGTATAAAGGTTAAAACAGAAAATCAGTTATGGGTCTGGAATAGATTAATTCAATTTACATTATTTCCCGTGGGAAAGAACAAGTTGGTTTTCGAACAAATTGCTACTCTAACAGCCTTCCAGAAGGAATTAAGTTGGAGAAACCAAGTTCCACTGTATCCATTGAAATGAGTGCATGGTCATGTTTTGCATTTCTTGGATCCTCAATGAGGATGAATATATGTGTTTCCTCTTTTGTGAATTGGCTGTTCATTCTTTGGTACATTTGTTCATGTTTTCTTTATTATTGGTACTAGGGGCCCAGGGCATGAATTCATGCACCTTGAAAGAACAGTGGGCTGTGAGGCTGCAGTGGGCACAGGGGCGGGTCTTGGCCCATCCTCCATGCCCCTACTTGGCCTCTCCCACCATGGCCCCCAATACCCTGTCTGCTGGCAGCCCTGCTCCTGCTAATGCCACTCCCACATGCTGTCAGCCCTGCTCGCATCTGCTGATGGCGCGGAGCTATTGGGGCTGGCGCCAGTATTGCTGCTCCAATCACCCCTCAAGAGGAGGGGGAGGTGGAGAAGCCCCCAGGGGCAACTGGGGCTGGCAGCTGCCCTTCGCATCCCCTGAAGGCGCCAAGTGATTGGGACCAGTGCCAAGCGCTGGCAGTGGGTGTTAAAGGCGGCTCCAGGGATGGCAGCAGGTGCGAGTGCCAGGTGGGACCATGGCATGCGGGAGCAAAGAATTTTCAGTAACCACCAGAGGCTTACCCTGATGACAGTGACCTGGAGACCTGCATTGGTCTGGCGCTCACCTGCTCCACCAACAGCCTCAGCCGACACCCACCATGTTCCATGCTCTGCTGCCTGCTGCTGATTCCCACCATGTTACATTTGCACCCCCTGGTGGTCAGCGCACATCATAGCAACTGGTTGGTTGGTTGTTCAGTTGTTCCACCATTCAGTCTATTTTCATATTATATTAGCCTTTTATCATATAGGATACATCGATTTGTACACCAGTGGGGTACCTTGGCCTGGCCTGCGGTGATTGGGCTGAAACCGGCTCTCTGACATCCCCTGAGGGGTCCTGGGTTGTGAGAGGATATAGACCAGGCCGAGGGACCCTGCGGGTGCACAATTAGGACCATGGAGGGACTGTAGGAGAGCTCCAGGGCGTGTCTGGCCCATCTCACTCAGTCCCGATTAGCTGGACCCCAGCAACAAGCTAACCTACTGGTTGGAGCGTCTGCCCTCTGGTGGTCAGTGCACAGCATAGTGTCATAGTGACTGGTAGAACAGTCAAATGGTCAGACAATTAGCATATTAGGTTTTTATTATAGAAACTTTTTAGAATTCTGTGACATTATTCCTTTCTTAGTATATTTACTCATTTTATTTATAACAAGCGCCTGTCACAGTCCATGGCATCGGCACCAAAAATCTAGTGATTACTGTTGAGATACAAACTCATGTACACCTAACAAATGTGTTCGGGTTAATATCAGTGTGCATTCACATTTGGAAAAGGAAACAAAAAATGCCTGTTTAAGAACAATAGAATAATTACAAGGGGAAAAAATCATCCAACCTACCCTGGCAAGCAGTCCCCACAGACAGCATCACTGGTGACAGAACAGTTTGCCTTCTGGAAGCGGTTCACCACCGCACAGTCCAGGCACGGCTTGCATTTCTGAAAGCCCCAGTCCTCCTTGAACCTGTGCAGCCGGCAAGTCACACACTGAGCATCCTCCCCGTAGCCAAAGCCACATTCCTGTGGGGATTAACAGGCAATAGAAAGCTATTCAAACACTGCAAGCATGAAAAAGGAAAGAGGCTGGGATGAAAGGAAGACCTGTTCTAGTGATTACTGAGTGCCAGCCCTCCTGGAGACAAAGGCAGCTCTCTAAGCAAGTTCAAATGTGTCTCCCACTGCTAATCATCTCTCTTACTCTGAGAGGTATACTTAATCATCCACTTTATTCAAGAAGCCACCATCATTTGAATAATAATGGTTCTCCAGGACCCCCACTGCTGCATTATTGTAGGTTATGGCAGAATTATGGCACTTATCCCTTTTCTAATTAAGCCAGTCTTGTGAATGTTCAGAGACTAAAGTCAGGGAAATACTGAGATTAAAGTCAGTGAATATTCAGTATTCACTTATCAAGGCAGAAAACAAGTACTTTGATATAAACAATGGTATTTTAGAAAATGAGGATAACCATAATATGAAATTTCACAAGTTTACAAACCCAGAAGTCTATCCAGTAGAGAGCACCCTAAATGTTCAGCAGCTTAACATTGTCTGATAGTAGGAAGATTCTTACATATTTCTCTAAAAAACATTACATTCTTGTTTGGATAAATCTGTGTGGTGCTGAAGCTCTTAAGTGTCTCCGAACTCTGATGTTAGAACATAGTACTCTTCCAAGAATGGGCAAAACAAATGGCTCTTTGACCCACATTATGATCCTTTCCACATGTTTGGGAACTACTAGTAAACAAATTACAGCAGATCACCTAATGTAATTATAATGCAACCATAAAAAGAATGAGGCAGATGTGTATTTGTGATTGTTCAAAAAATAATTTAGCATAATACAGAATTAGAAGTATGATCCTATTTCTTGAGTACTAACATTTGAATACTAACATTTATTGGGTGCTTATTCTTTGCCAAGCACTTTATACTTATTTTCTCATTAATTCATACTCCTTTCCCAATGAGATAAGCACTATCATTATTCAATTTCATGGATATAATTATGGAGCTTCCCAGAAGGACTGCACCTTAACCAAGGTGACATAGCTAATGTTAGAACCAGGATTTGAATCTACACAGTTTAATTCCAGAGTTAGACTCATAACACTAGGGTCGGCCAGTTACTTTATATGACATATACATAGGAAGATGTCTGAAAGATTACATACCAAATATTAACACTGGTTATCTATACTTTATGATGGTTGCTATAAATGGTTGGTCATTTAAAAAGAAAAAAAAAGTCAGCCTGAGAACTACAAGAAGAATGTGTATAGAAGAGCATGCTAATCCAATCCACACACAAGACTGTCTGCTCAGAGGGAGTAAGGGCTTTAACAAAATGCCTCAGGCTTAGCCTCCTCAGATGTAAATACGGATGCCAGAATGCAAATCTTAATGAGCTCAAATTCTCATTTTTAATAGAATTTATATATTTTAATTCCTTCATCCATATTTATATACATAGTTATCTAGGCAATATTTACTACACAATTGTTCTAAACCAAAGCACAGGCAGGAGGTAAAAACCCAACCACTTGATTTGAACTAATTCACAAATTAGAATTCCTTTAAAACCATTAACAGGAATTAGAGAAATTGAATTACTATTCTCAATTTTTATAATTCTGTAATAATTTAGGTATCTTTTGCAAAAAGCATCCATTACTCTAGTAATAAAAATAAAGATATATAAAGAAATTCACAAATATTTCCTTGGATCATGTATTAGGTCTTTGTGGAGAGACCAATACTTTGTGTGTGTGTTTGTGTGTGTGTGTGTGTGTGTGTGTGTGTGTGTGTGTGTGTGCTCTGTCCCTGGGCAATATGGATCTGCCTGGAGAGAGAAGCGTGTCTGTGCTGAGAAACTTTAGCTGTTGAGAAAGCTCAGCTAATCCAAAGGCTTTCTTTAAGTATGGAAGGGAGGCTCCACCCCATCTCATAGGATCAAGGCAAGCACGTAACCCCTGGGCAGCCCCTGGACGGCTTGGACCTCCCCATTCACAGGCTCACCATCTCCACAAAGACAATTTTTCAAAATCATAATTTGATCCAGACAACTTGGATGGTAAGGGTCTCATATACAAGTGAAAACACAACAAAGATGGGGAAAAGGGAGAGTAAAAGGGAAAACAAAGGAAGAGAAAGGAGAAAGAGACAGAAGAGGTATATTAACTGGGAGTAAAGTTTGACATTTTGTTTTTCAAGCCAAGTTGGTAGAGGAGAGAAAGTGTGTATTTTCCTACATTGAAGCTAAAGTCACATGAGTTTAAATGCCAACTCTACCACTTGTCAGCTAAGTTATTTTGGAAACTCTCTGATCCTCAGAGACATGGAGATAATAACACCTGCCCTACAAAGTTGTTTTGAGGAATAAGCAGCAAAACCTATTAAGCCTCTAAACTGTAAATGAAGCATCGAGTGGGCATTCATCAAATACATGAGACCTATGGCAACTTTTCTGGTTAACATAGAATCACTGGGAACAGGGAATCTTCAGACCCCAATTTTTTCAAGGTTACTTAAAACATTGCTTTTCATTTAAAACATTTTTACTAAATAAAAATTTCTCTAAAATGAATCGCAATTGCCTGCCTTTTAAAAAAGGGTAATCTATATATATAAAAGCTTAAGCAACCATTACAACTGGTCACCTGAATGATCGGTTGCTATGACATGCACTGACCACCAGGGGGAAGATGCTCAATGCAGGAGCTGCCCCCTGGTGGTCAGTGTGCTCCCACAGCCAACCTTCCACAGTCTTTCACCTCCCCTCCCCCACCAGCTTGTCCCAAATGCCCCAATTGCCCCAATCACTGACCAGGCTGAGGGACCCCACCCGTGCACAAATTTGTGCACCGGGCTTCTAGTTAAAATATAATTTAACTTTATCTGATTGAGCCAACTGCTGCAATATGCTATAATACAAAAAACTAGGGACCTCTGTGTATATGTGAATAGTTCTGCTGTTTTCACACCCCTGGCAGGAAGTCAACTGTCATTTCCTGTTCTTGCTGAGTGTCATTGTCTCCAAGGATTCACTTCGTCTCTCCAGTCCTAAGAAACTAGATTAAATGATCCAAATAGAAATGAACTTGAACAAATATAAATGTGAGTTTTATATTTTGAAAAGGATCAGAGACTTTATGCTAATTTTTGAATCCTGACTGTATCCTGGAGTTTACATTATACACAGAACTATTTTAACCAATGCATTTTTGCCATAGATCACTCTGTGTCATTTACATGTCATCATATTTTGTAGAATGAGGGTGTCATGCAAAAAATTGAGGGTCTATTCTACACTGGCCCAAAATCATGACACTTTCCCAGTTGTACTAGGGTTCTCCTCATTATTTCATGAGAAGGACTCTGTGGTGTGTGTGCATATGGTGTGTGTGTGTGTGTGTGTGTGTGTGTGTGTGTATGTGTGTGTTTGGCAAGGAAGGATAAGGAGGATAGGGAAGAATAAGTCAGTCATTGGCCTGGGCTTCAGAATAAGATATGTGTGTTTTATTTTATTTTATTTTTTTTTTTGAACATGGTCTTCCATTAATAGCAATTGAAGGTATGTACTTGGGCTTTAAAATAATCCTATAGTCTTTATTTCTGAGTAAATAAAGACTATATTCAGGCACCTGACATCTTAAAAACTTGAAGGAAATACCTCCCCTGAATCCCTGAGAAAATCTTTTTAATAATAAATGTTGATGTGGGAAAATAGATACACACATTTTTAAAAATACAATTAAAAACAACAACAACATTGCTGTAGGATTCCTAGTTCTGAAAATCATGCAATAAGTTAGCAATTCTTTGTACTTGACATCTCCCTTTACCACTCTTTCCCAAGAGCCTATCATAGCATCTGGTACTGACAAGGATTCTTTGCTTGATCAAACTTTAGCAGGTTCCTGAAGCTTCTCCTAGGCCCATCTGTGCTAGCCCTTGCAAAATCCAATTTTGGTAAGACTTTCACTAAGTCAATTCAACCAGGAGCCCCACCCTCAATATCTGATAGAGTTCCTTATCCTCCCCATCCCCAAGGTGATGCCTGAACATCACGTCAGGTCGGCTTTAGCCAGAAATCCCGTCATTCCTGACCCTCACCCTGCTCTTTGGTTCTAGTTCCCCCTTGCCCATGCTATATTTGGAGTCAAGCCCAACCTCTCTCCCTGCTGTAAATCTCATTGCACTGTCCCTACATCTACTGCGAAGGTCCTGAACGAAGTCGACCTTACTATTTTCATCACTGAATTTTTTTTAATAATACACAATAGGCTGGTGAGTAATAAGTGCTTGCTGTATAAACAAATCGATGTATTTTGTTTAAGGCAGTATTTCCTAAAGTTATTTTTATTTTATTCCAGGGAGCGAAACTGTAGTTTATGAAAATGTCTCCCACTTGGTTAGATCCTGCTGGTCTGGTGGGGAGGACTGGGTGTGGGGACAAATAAGGGTGAGGGTCTGTCTGGAGTGGGGGTGAAGGTGTGAGCAGTGTTTTTTTGCTATGATTCCAGGGCAATAGAGGGCCGGATCCATCTGGGCTGCTTCCACCCAAGCTGGCGGCAGGAGTAGCTCTGTCACTCTGCCCGATACTTTTAGGCCACATTTGGTGGCTTCCCAGTAGCAAAACGACTCAAAGTAAACAGTCCTCAAATCCCCTTCTCCCTTTTCTCCCTCTGCAAATACAGCACTGAACAAAAACACAAGTGGATCCCACCTATCCCTACATTTCCGAGGAGCAGCTCCTCAGGCCACAGGATCCTCACAGATCATCAACTGTCCGGAAAACACATTCTGGGGCCTTGGGTCTAAAGCTCTATTTATTTGTACAGCCAATAAGCTATTACATTTGGTTCTTTGAACTTTAAAAGTTCAAGTCTGCACAAAGAAGAAGCTACTTGTGGAGAAAATCTAGGGCATACAAATGAAAATGACAAATTAGATTTACATGGCTGGTGTTTAGAAATCAGCTTTTTAAATTTCCTTTCATAAAACAACACCAA